ATCTCCATGGCTGAGATAATCAAGCGTGACAATCTCAGCCAATCCAATCATTTCCCATAGAAAAGCATTGGGAGGCTATTGTGCATCCGCAGCACAATGCTGTGCCAATCAGCATATCCTCATAGAAATGCACTGAGTCAAGTATCTGTAAAGGGACCATTCAGCACCTCCATGCAGAGCATGGACTAGGAAGCACTTTAAAGGCAGGCTGTATGATTCCCACTAGAAGTGTTACTAGGCAGTGTTTACATTGGAAAGCCTGCAGGGACAGGCTATAGACACCAGAACTTCTACATTAGGTTGTAGTGGTTCTGGTGACTATATGGTCACTTGAAGAATTGTATTTTTGTTGTTGAAAATAAAGTTTTGTTCGTTTAAAAAAAAAACAAAAAAAAACTGGCTCCTAGATTCAAAGCAAATTTGTCAAGCCCAGATGCCCAGGTCAGTGTGCTAAAGAATTCTAGTACATCTGGAAAAAGCATTTCTTTCCTCTGTATTTTATATTTCATGGCAGCTGAGTTTTAGGAGAGGATTTAAGTAAAGGATAAACAAGAAACAAAGTGGAGGATGCAACACTTTGTACTGAAAATGGAATACGGAGATGGTGAAATGTCACTTACGATAAGACTTAACTTTTAATAAATAATAGTAAAAAAATCCAAACAGTGCAAGAACTAACCACAAAACAGGACAAATAGTACTTTGGACAAAAATATTGAAAAAAACAAAACATCTTATAAAAGCAGCTGAAGCTGTCCCACTAATAACAATGGTGTAATTGGCACAACAGAGGAATTCTTATTAGAGTACACCGTAGTAATTAATATACTGGGGCCAATAACCTGTAATGGTAATCGTATGAGATCGCATTACCACCTGCACAGTGGTTCCTAATAAATCTCAATAGATCATTGTTTGGTAGACATACACTGAAGATTAGATGTAGAATTGCTAATGAACACACTGTGCAAAAGTTGGTATGATAGTATCAATGGCTGGAATGGCTACAAATAAGTGTTGCATCCTCCACTTTGTTTTTTGTTTATCTTTTGTTAACTACAGAGGTTATCCCCCACCTAAGAGACAGACACGGACTGGCCATTGGACATACCGGGCAAATGCCCGGTGGGCCGCGATGGCCATGGTCTGAGGCCGGCAGGGGAGATCACAGGATCTCACTGGCTGGCCCATGTAGAGCAGACACTATCAGAGCGCCGGCCCTGCTATGTGCCTTTGTGGGCCGGTGAGGAGATCAAAGATCTCCCTCACCGACCCAAAGGTACTGTAACGCTGCCTGGGGAGGGAGGGAGAGGAGGGGAGACACACACACCTCAGTGATTTAACAGACAAAGAAAATTAGACACATAGAACGTGATGGCAGATAATACCCTCACACAGCACACCCAAAACACTGCGATCCTCACACATACAATACATCTAAACATATATAAACTACTGCACCACTACACACATTACGCTCCAGATACACGCTAGATCCCTTACCCAACTCTGGATCATCTAATCTACACATACTACATTCCTAACATACACACTCTGGATCCCCTATGCACACACTACATTCCTTGTTAGCACACTCTCTACAACCCCTACACACACACACACACACACACTACAGCCCGTATGCACACACTTGCTACATCCCCAGTACACACTATGCCCCCTATACAGCCCCTAGCCACACATATTTCACCACACACACAAATGAAATCGACCTATTTACACAATACCACACCACAATCAGTTCACTCTACACACACGCAATCCCACAAGCAGGCTCCAAATACATGCACGATACGTTTTCCTGGTCCTTTTGTCCTCTGGTACCCCACTAATGGAGACACCAGAAGTTAAAAGTTAAAAGCAAACACAGCGCAAGCATGTTATTAAATTTGCTTCCGCTATGCAGAACAAATACAGGGCCTTCTTCTCATGCTACAGCTCTTCAGCAGGGCTTTGCGCATTGAACCATCATGCTCACTTTGAGGGGGCGTGCTTGTCATTAGTGATGACACCCTCTCTGGCCCCGCACCCTTCTCAGGGGGCTGCTGTGATTGAAAAATGCCCGGGCCGAATTATTTCCCCAGTCTGGCCCTGCTAGGTGGGGATTATACCACTCAAGCAGTCTGCCTGCTCAATAAAATGTGAGTAACCACTTGGTATTTTATTACTTCACCTCTGGCTTTTATACAATAAGCACTATTATTGTTTCTTTTACATTTCATATGGTCCTTATACCAACAAGATATCCATCTACTACAAAACTTCACGTATCCCATAAAAGGGGATTGTACACTGTATGCCATCCACACTAGAGCTAGTCTTATAGCTCTGGAAAACGTGAGTAGGACCATATAGACCTCTAAAAACAGTACTTAGTACCTGTTGGGATATACTGCACCATTATTTGCAGTCTTTTTTTCATATGGATTTCACGAATATCCCATGTCCATATGTTACTGAGGAATACTTCCCCTGACAAGATTGTGATTGACTTCTTATACAAGGTTTTATTTGGACTTTTTTGCTGCATTTATCAGGCACAGACTCTTTTGGACTTAATCTTTGGACTCTTGATTATTATTCATTATCCATATTTCAAACTCTTTTTGTTTTTTTATCTTGTATGTATTTTCTCTTATATAGTGTCTTGTATATGTGCTTGTATAGTTTATAATCAGGTTTATTTATTTATATTTTATTTCACCTGTGGCGCCGCCTCCCCCTTCACCTTTTTTAGTTTTGTCTACTCTACAGGGCCTGTGAGGGAGCCCTATTTTTCAGGTGTGCTGCCTTACATTTATCTCTGTAAGATCTAGTATATTAGCGCTGATCCTTTGTACATATTTTTAGGAGGTATGCACTGGCTTTAGATCTTCCTTTTCTGTAAGTCTCATAGGATTTAAATAAAAGGTATAGCAACTATCTAACAAATATCGTTAATAATGGTGAATGTGCATTTAGATTCTTCCTCTGACAGCATCTAGACAAAGTATTAAAGAATTATGAAGTTTTATACTTGGCCTGAAGAGTCGGGCATTGTATATTCTAGCAAGGTAAGGGATAGAAAGGTATGGATATCATACTTGCACATTAGTTGTTAAAGGATTCTGTGCATAAATTTACAAATTTTAAAACAGAACACAGAGTTCATCCAATGGAGAACAATCAAATTACATCAGACGCCATTCTGTCTACACGGCTATTAGCACGTCGTAAAGCAGTGTGTAGTACGTAAGCTGCGCAAACTAGTGCTTACCATCTATATCAAGTCTTGCTATACTCACAACAAGTACTGCTGCTGAACTGAAACTCAGATTGGATTAAGCCTACAGTTAGGTAAAAGCCTAGCATCATTAACCCTTAATAATCAAGCCTTCGTTATTAATACAAATTACCACCAACTAACCTGATACGCAACTCCTTCAGCCTCCCACCTCGGTTCCATGTATACCCCACACGGTACGGTATTAAACGCACATTTTGTGTGGGTTTACTCCTTGGATTTCTGTAAAAAGAAAACAAATATTTACTGGTGTTTCAATGTATAAATATCATGAGGTAAGTTTATAAAAAAAAAAAATATAAACAAAAATATATCATCAAGTGATAACACTAATTTTCTCTCAAACGGTTTAATTATCTTTAAGCCAGTATTGTACACACCACATCCTAGATAGTTTTACTACCGCCCGTACACACAGGTTGCCGTTAATAAGGCAGGAAGTGATCTACCACAGGTAAACATCTGTGTCACCTTATGGTCTTTGGATCTTCAACTGAACTACTTAAAAACAGATGTCCAACCACATGGGAAAGGTGCCAGGCACAAGGAATATAACTAACCATAGCAACCCAGGTGAGCCACACAGGATTATTCACTAAATTCCAAATGACAAAACATGCCTCCATTCAGAATTACTTCAGGAAAACGCGGAGATTAGTTCTTAGTCCTTACATTCTCTAATCCATGGGTGCCAAAAAGGTAGATCCCCAGATGTTGTAAAACTTCAACTCCCATGATGCTTTGCCTTTAGAATGATAAACACCATGGAAGCTGTAGGTGTACAAAATCTGGGGATCTACCTTTTGGGCAACCTTGCTCTAATCTCAAGTGATAAATTGGAAGTGAAAGTGATTTAGCTTGTAACATTAACACAGGCTAATAAACAGGATTTGGACTACCGCAAGGTGTAGGGTGAACCAACTGAAAGGTTTCACAACTATAATTTTTGATATGGCACCAACATGTTCTGCAAACAAAACTTGTATGACATATGGGAACAGTAGTTGAAGAGGTGATCAAGTGGCAAATAAATAAATAAATTGCAAACCAAATAAAATTAAAATAGCATGGACATTTCAAATTTACATGCATCCTTGCTTATCACCTTGAAGACTGATTATAACTCTACACTGGAATACAGAATTCTGTTTGGATAAAATAAACAACATTCCATTTTAAATCTTTGTGACTCTTTAATGCAGCCCTGTAACAAATGATTTGTATAACCATCTCTCCCCTGAACCTTAGCTGCTCTGACACAGTGACACAGTGACACAGTGTAACTCCTCCAGATGCTGTGGACATACTTATCCCAGATTCCCTCTATCACTGATTTAACACAGAGTGTAAGAGCAGTATCTCTGTACAGACAGCTTACCTGCCCCTTCCTGCTCTCTCCATGCTGTGTCTCCAGTCTGGGTTCTATAGCCCCGCCCACTGCTATCTCCGCGCCTACCCTCCCGCTTGTTATCATAGAAACTAGACGCTATACCGCTCGTTATGCCGACAGTCGTAAACCGCGGATGAGTTTCAAGTCAATACAAGTGTCGTGCTCAAATGCGGTTTTCTCTTTGGCAGCGGCTAATTCCCATGGAGCCAGAGGTGCAGCGCTGTCACAGGAAGTACATGACCATAGAAAGAGGAAGCTCAAATTATTACTGCCTGAGTCATTAATACACACTCCAGCTCTCTCTGTGTTTGGCGCTCCCTTCGATTTTGGTGGCCTTTTTTTCTCACTATATTTGCGCCCCTCTTGCTCTTTCTCCCTATATCCCCCATGTGGTGCCGTCCCCCCTTCTCGCTCTTTCTGCGCATGCCCCCACTCGCTCTGTGCCCCTTCTCGCTCTCTCTGCGCATGCCCCCCTCTTACTATATGCCCCCTCTCGCTCTCTCTGCGCATGCCCCTTCTCGATCTCTCTGCGCATGCCCCCTCTCGCTCTGTGCCCCTTCTCGCTCTCTCTCGCGCCACCCTCTTACTATATGCCCCCCTCTCGCTCTCGCATGCCCCTTCGATCTCTGCGCATGCCCCCTCTCGCTCTGTGCCCCTTCTCGATCTCTCTGCGTATGCCCCTCTCGCTCTGTGCCTTCTCGGTCTCTCTGGGTATCTCGCCCTTGCCCCTTCTCGATCTCTCTGCGCATGCCCCCTCTCGCCCTATGCCCCTTCCTCGATCTCTCTGCGCATGCCCCCTCTCGCCCTATGCCCCTTCTCGATCTCTCTGCACGCCCTTCGCTCTGTGCCTTTTCGCGCTCTCTGCGCATGCCCCCCTCTCGCTCTGTGCCCCTTCTCGATCTCTCTGCGCATGCCCCCTCTCGCTCTGTGCCCCTTTTCGCTCTCTCTGCGCATGCCCCCTCTCGCTCTGTACCCCTTCTCGATCTCTCTGCGCATGTCCCCTCTTGCTTTCCCTGCGCATGCCCCCTCGTTCTCTCTGAGCATGCCCCCTCTCGCTTTCCCTGCGCATGCCCCCTCTCGTTCTTTCTACACATGCCCCCTCTCGCTCTCTGCGCATGCCCCCTCTCACTATATGCCCCCTCTCGCTCTCTCTGAGCATGCCCCTTCTCGCTTTCTCTGAGCATGCCCCTTCTCGCTTTCTCTGAGCATGCCCCCTCTCGCTTTCTCTGCGCATGCCCCCTCTCGCTTTCTCTGCGCATGCCCCCTCTCGCTTTCTCTGCGCATGCCTCCTCTCGCTCTCCCCGCACATACCCCCTGCTCGCACGGTCTAAGCACGTGCCCCCCTGTTCACGCAGTCTCTGTACATGCTTGCGCTCTCTCTTTCTGCCCATGCCCCCTACTTGCGCTCTCTCCACACATGTCCCCTGCTCGCTTTCAAGATTTTTGTGCAATTTTGTATTTATTTCAATTCCACCTAATTTTAATAAAATGATATGCTTCTCATCATGTAAGTAAAGGAAATATATATATTGTATTTTCTCCCCCCCCCCATTTCTTATGATAGCACAACACCTTGATATTCATTTTACAAAGAATAAAAAAAGCATAGGGGGGGGGAAATAAGTGTTTAAACATGTTTGTACATGAAAATAAAACATATACAGAAAATGGATAAACCCTGTACTAGGGTATAGTGAGGATGTGTTGATGAGAAAAGGCCCTTGGATGATTAAACTGTTCTCGAATGCTTTTACGCCTAAGTTGCATCCACTCCTCCCCTGGCTTCTGAGTTTTCACAAGCCTTGACTCCCCATTCACTAATTCACAAAACTGGCTTGGAAAGAAACATACCGTTTCAATCAGACAGCCACTAGAGGTGCTTCATGGGTGCTAACAGACTTTTGGTCACCTAAAGGACACTAGATACACTATAATATGTGTTTAACATCTACATTCAACATTTTATAGTATCCCTTTAACATCTAAATGAAAATAAAACCATTTTGTTCATGCAGGTTGTGTGGGTCACAATCAAGGGAGGTATGACTTGGGCTGTATAAACAGAAACAAATATGATTTAACTCCTAAATGGTAGTGAACTGATGAGTGAGAATGCTTACACCAATTAGTTGACAATGTTAATTTCAGAAGTGACTCCACCTTAGCAGATACACATAATTGTATTAAGACACAGAGGCTCCTATTATGCTGCACTCTTTCTTTCTTTACCTCAGCAGCAAAGAAAAGTAACATGAAACCAGTAAATAACATGAGGTATAACTTCCTAGCAACAGGAACTGCCGATCAGCATCCTCTTTGTAGCATAACAGGCAGTGTCCAGTATACTACTTCCTCTTTCTTTGCTGCTCCCTCAGTTAAGTGACACTGGTTCTTAACTGTGGGATCTTCTTTATTCATATCATTACTGTGGTTAATATAGTTATTATAGTTTTTACATTTTAATTATAATATTTTCATATTTATTAATATATTTAGTTACTTCATTTTAACTTAATTTGATTTATTTACTTAATTTGCTTCAGTTATATGCTTTATTATATATCCTTTGATAATTTCTTTCCCCTCTGACCTCCCTGGCCCCAAGAATACCATCAATTGGGGCTCAGGGGCGTCTTTGAGGATCTTTGTCCCCTGCACAGTGCTATTGTGCTGTTTTTACCCTTCATTTATCTGTGTGGCCGCTGCTCTGCCCCCAACTGCCAGAAATGTAAGTTGGGGTTTAGTTATATTGGCAGCTGGGCAGCTCCTGTGTTTTTCTATTACAATTCTATTTTTTTCACTATTGTGAGTACTTTCATTTCTTTATCCTGTTTAGTTATTTATTTATTTTTTACTTGACGGTTACTCAACCCTTTCCTTTTGGTATTATTTTACTTTATTCATCCCCTTAGGTTTGTTTGTATATTAATGATGCAGTCTGACAGGATCTTTCTGTGCCTTCTGGGTCTACAGCAAACATGCAGATTAATGTAGAAGCCTCTCCAGGTATCTCTGGAGATGAGGCTGATTTTCTGCTTTACTGATCCTTCTGACATGCAGGCTTTAATTTACACTTCCATGGCAAAAGCAATGACAAGGCCCTGGTGTTAGTGATGGTTGTTATGTCTGATTCACTTCACAGATATTTGCCCAGACCCTGTTACAGGCACAGAGATTGGCCCAGCCGACTACTCAGGCGACAGTACCTGTACTCACACCAGCTCTGCTTCAGCCTGGCCACAATGCCTCATATAAGGCTAAATACTCCTCCAAAACAATAGAGATGGACAGTACCATACCTGTCACGGATGGCGCAAATAATTTACCACCGCGCAAAAGAGCTACTAGTCGGGCAAAATCGACTAGACTTTGGAAAAGGGCAAAAGCCCAATTGAACTCTGAATCTGAGCTCAGGGATATTGAGGAGGAGTTCCCTGAGTACTATATGGAGGTGTACCTGTACTCACACCTGCTCTGCTTCAGCCTGGCTGCAAGGCCTCATATAAGGCTAAACACTCCTCCAAAACAATAGAGATGGACAGTACCATACCTGTCACGGATGGCGCGATTAATTTACCACCGCGCAAAAGAGCTACTAGTCGGGAAAATCGACCAGTCTTTGGAAAAAGGCCAAAAGCCCAACTGAACTCTGAATCTGAGCTCAGTGATACTGAGGAGAAGTTCCCTGAGTCCTGTATGGAGGATTCAGAGGATATTTCTGATCCTGATTATGAAATTACTGATGAAGAGGATGCTAATCCCGTTCGGGATACACGTCCTGTTAACCCTACTAAGACTGAGGTAGATTATGCTGACTCAGTTACACCAAAAGGATCTTGGACACTCAATGTGAACCCCTATTCGAATCTGACGACCTATGTCACCCATTGGTCTCCTCAGACCATGTAGCCAAGTATATTGCATCCAGAGTACGCAAGCCTTTTGAGAAGGCAAAGTGAAATAAATTTCGGGCTGAATGGCCACACTGAACAGTCCCTGATGACTCATGTAAAAAGCTATCAGTCTATCCTAAGATCATTCAATTCCTGAGTAAGACAGAATGGAAGCCCACTAAAGGCTTAGATTTTCATTGCAAAACTGTCAGGATAAAATCATGGGCATCTTGGGCTCAGCAGCCAAGATCTTTGAAGCAGTAGAGGATGATCTAGAATTAGATTGCGCCATCTTAAGTGGTTAAATCCAGAGAGTGATTTAAGTTGGCAATGCCAACAATGCGGTTGTCACAGATAACACAGGCAAAAGGTTTTCTCTTTGGGGACAACTTTGTAAAAGAATTGGGCTCCTTTGTCTTGCTAAACAAACCGAAGTTCTTTTAGACAGAACCAAGGCTCTTATACTTGCTGAGCCAATTTCTTTGAACAATGCACTATACCAACCTCCTTCCCACAAAGTGGTTTTCTCTTTGGGGACAACTTTGTAAAAGAATTGGGCTCCTTTGTCTTGCTAAACAAACCGAAGGTCTTTTAGACAGAACCAAGGCTCTTATACTTGCTGAGCCAATTTCTTTGAACAATGCACTATACCAACCTCCTTCCCACAAAGTGGTTGACCCTGGGTTGTTAGTGGCCTAAGAGGTGCTCCTAAGAAGTCTTCACAATTTCCATTCTTCCTTACTAGATAGTGGGGGGCAGGCTCACACATTTTTCCCATGTATGGCCCTCATTTCATCAGATGCTTAGGTTCTTCACACTGTGAAAGGGTATTGCATAGACTTCCTTTCTCTACCTGTTCAATGTTCCCCATCGAGGGAAATAGTTTTTTCCCAATGAGACGCAGACCTTGTCTTGTCTCCTTTTCTTGTTTCCCAAAAAAGGCAAAGGTATTCGTCCAGTGATAAATTTGAGACAGCTCAATAGTTATGAGCATATCAGCACTTCCAAGATGGACGGAGGGCATTGCTTAAGGGATCTTCTCCAACCAGCAGATTGGATGGCCAAATTGGATCTCACAGTGCCTATCGCAGTACAACATACAGATCGAGAACTTCCTGCAATTTACATGGTAGGACAGTAAATGGAGGTTCAGGTGCCTCCCGTTCGGATTGTCTTCGGCTGTATGGTGTTTCACCAAGCTCACGAAACCTATGGTCGCCCTGCTACAGAGTCGGGTAGTACGTCTTATAATATATTTAGACGGCATTTTTATTCTGGCTCAGTCTATTCAATTAATCCGGACATACCTTGCATTGACTTTGACTCTATTAGAGAACCTAGGCTTCCTGATGAATTGGGAGAAATCCATTATCGTTCCCACGAAATAAATCAAATTTCTGGGTTATATTGGATTATTGTAGATTCCTACCCTTCAAACTCTACACCTTCCGGTGGCAAATTTAGCCAATATCAAGAAGGAGATAGGCGAACACTAGCAACTTCTCAACTCTCTCTCAAACAACTGTTGGGAATGTTAGGCCTTCTAGCGGCATCTATACAGGCCATTTTTCCAGGTCTTCTTGGCTCTCGAGCATCTTCAACGATTACAAACTTCATCTCAAGGGCAGCGCATTATACACAGATATGGTAACTCTGGACTCAGAAGCGGAGGATGAACTCCAATGGTGGCTTCTTCACATGGAAGCTTGGAATGAGCGCACCATATTTTGTACAGCTCCAGATTTCAAGTCCGATGCAAGTTTGCACGGTTGGGGTGCTCAATGCTGTAATATTTCCACCAAGGGCAGATAATCAAACCTGGAATCGACACTCCACATCAATTGTTTGGAACATCTGGCCCATTCCTTTGCTGTCTGCAGTTTCACCCCAACTCAAGCCCAATGCGCTATCCTTCTGAAGATGGACAACGTGTCAGCAGTCAGTTACATCAATCACTTGGAGGCACAAAATACAAAATTCTGACCTACATGCCTCGTGATTTCTGGCAATTTTGCCTGATACACAGCATTTCATTCACGGCAGAATATATTCAAAGTCTCTCCAACACTACGGCGGACTAGTATTCACGCCAACTCAGAGATTCCAGCGACTGGCACTTGGATTCCATGGTCTTCCAAGACATCTGGAACCTATGGGGTCTATTGGAAATAGATCGTTTCGGTTCTCGTTTGAATGCTCAGCTTCCCCGTTTTCTCCAAAGAAATAAGATTTTCTGCCCTTTGCACTAATTCCCCGTTGCCTTTCCATCTACATTGCCAGTCCGGCACCTGGTGATCGTGGCTCCTCTATTGCCACCCAACCATAGTTCTCTCCTCTTCAGGAGATGGTTATCGACCTTCCATCTCTCGAGTGCCTTCTTCAGGATCCAGAATGTGTGCCTCCTCCCCTTCCCCTTGTTCTCCAAGGTCTCTTGCATCTCATGGTGTAGTCTATTTCAGGGAACCTTGGTCGGTCGAGGGATTTTTGCAATCAACTCAATCAACTCAATTTTACCCAGTTTTTCCTGATGGATCTCTCCTTTGCCCTGTTGCATACTAATGGGTGTGTGAACATCGTTCCACTACATTACAGAATCCTTTAAAAAAGGAACTCTTCATCTCCTTCCAAAAGTCGAGTCTTTCGACATTATGTCTCTAGCAGGTATTGATACCTATGCGTCTGTGCCTCATTCGGTTTGTGGGGCAATGGCTTCTAAGGCTTCCTCGATTGGTTGTCGCTTGGAGGATATTATGAGAGCGGCTGGTCTTCGGAGTCTGCATTCCATGATTTCTACTTTAGACCTATTCAGCACTTCACAGGAGACATGATTTAACAGCTTTGAACTAGCATAATAGGAGCCTCTGTGTCTTAAGAAAATTTACAGATTTTATTATTAACATGACATAAAGTCATGATTTTATTAATGACACGGAGGCGAGTATTATCCCTCCCTCCCATCCCTGGAGGTTTGGTCTTCTCTGGGTAAGTTGACTTCACGGTAAGTCTTTTTTGATTACTGGGTTTGACTAAACTGAATTTCATGTTATGTATATATATATATATATGATATTCCATGTAATGCAACTTTATGCATAGATCCAGTTTTATACTTGGATATTACCATATTCTTCTTTCTCTTCCAGCTTGACTCCGAGATCCAGTTTAAGGCTTGCATACCTTCTTATTGGAGCCCACTTTTTATTTGGATTTGTTGTCCTTGTTCGGCATCGCAAGAAAGAGGAAGTAGTATACTGGACACTGTCTATTATGCTACAAAGAGGATGCTGATTGGCAGTTCATGTTGCTAGGAAAATATACCTCTCATGTTATTTACTGGTTTCTTTTATACTGATTTAATGTTACTTTTCTTTGCTGCTGAGGTAAATAAAGAAAGAGTGCAGCATAATACTTGCCTCCGTGTCATTAATAAAAATCATGACTTTATGTCATGTTAATAGTAAAATCTGTAAATTTGCGGACAAAATTAAATTCCTTTATGTTAAACTGCAATCCTCCTTACGTTCCCAGAATATTATATTTAGATAGAGGGATCTGCCCCACAATATTGAAGAAAATATGCTTTTGTTTGGCCCCTAAACATAAGATGATATCACAGGGGTATCAGGAACTGAAAAGACAGGATGAAATCCGAGGCCTACCTTTTGTGAGCACTTAGAAAAAGAATTAGGCCACCATATAGATGAACCACTCTTGTGTCAAATCTTCGGTGCCCTGAAGGGGATGACATCCTGTGCCACCCATCTAGAGGTAAATAGACTCTATATAGGCGGTACCTAGTCCTGACTAAAATGCAACATTTTGGAGGTTCTGCAACAGGGGAGTGTTGGAGATGTGGAAAAGAGAGAAGCATATATTACATATATTTTAGGAGTGTGAGGAGATGCAGAAGGTTTGGAAGAAGGCAAACAAGTTAAGTAGGCACTCCACTGCTCAGGTGGTACTCCAAAAAGTGGAGGCGTATCTTGCGGTGATAATTCATATTTTAGTCGCTACAATCACCCTGATAGTAAGGGATTGGGAAGCAAAGGAGTACCTGACAAGGGAAGCTATCATTAGACAGGTTGACGTGACTAATGCATATGATCTAATGATGTAACAACAAAAAATGACTGTCTCAAAGGCAATAAAATCATGGGAACTATGGAAGAGGTTCACAAAGGGGACTCTATAAGTCAGGGGAATCTTCGTCCCATCAAACAATAGACCATTTGGGCGAATACATGGAGAAACCTAGGCTTTACTTGGCACGTTGCCACAACCTCCCCCAACCTCCCTTTAATTTATTGACATATATACTGGTAACTTTTATAAAGTGGAGTAACTTTTAAAAGTGAAGTTGGATTTAGAATCTGCTTATTAACATGTTAATATTACACTGTATATTCTGTATTATGCAAACATGTGCTGATGTTAAAGGACCACTGTAGTGCCAGGAAAACATACTCATTTTCCTGGCACTATAGTGCCCTGAGAGTGCCCCCACCCTCAGGGTCCCACTCCTGCCCGGCTCTGGAAAGGGGAAAGGGGTAAAAACTTACCTTTTTCCAGCGTTGTGCGGAGAGCTCTCCTCCTCCGATCCTCCTCTTCTCCTCCCCGTCGGCTGAATGCGCACGCGCGGCAAGAGCTGCGCGCGCATTCAGCCGGTCACATAGGAAAGCATTCATAATGCTTTCCTATGGACGCTGGCGTGCTCTCACTGTGAAAATCACAGTGAGAAGCACGCAAGCGCCTCTAGCGGCTGTCAATGAGACAGCCGGTAGAGGAAATAGGGGAAGGCTTAACCCATTCATAAACATAGGAGTTTCTCTGAAACTGCTATGTTTATTAAAAAATGGGTTAACCCTAGAAGGACCAGGCACCCAGACCACTTCATTAAACTGAAGTGGTCTGGGTGCCTAGAGTGGTCCTTTAAGCACTGCCTCCAATGAACGCTGTTCATGTGTATGTATCTGAAATGTTAATAAACTTCAAACTGAGAAAAGTGATCTGCCTAATCTGCGTATTTATATTTTAATTCAAGTTCCTAGATAGCCTTGGGCCAACCCTGGATATAAAAAGGGACACTCCAAGCATTTTGCATTCTTTGATATAGATGGATGGATAGATAGATTTTCTAGGATATTTTAGAATGTGCTTCAATTATTTATGAAATGGGTAATTATGAAAGTCTTATTTTGACTGTGTGGTAATTTATCGAAATAATTATGCAATCAAAAGACACCACAAGCTAGAAATAGCTGTGAGAAAAGGCATCTTATTAAGGCGGGATCATTCATATACCTTTGTTTTGTGCTCTCACGGATGCTTGAAAGTAGAACAGTGATACAGGATGCTGGATGAAGTGTCAGGGACAAAATATGGACTCTGGAAAGATGATGGTAATATGAAAGAGGCAAATTTTCAGTTAAGTATATCTCTTGTTATCTTGTCCTCTAAAACACTGCAGATGGAAGAAGCAAAATATGCAAAGATCCCTAAAGTGACATGGTGTTTTGACTCTCCATAACCCTGCTGAGCTTATCCCATAGCCTGGGGTGGCCAAACTTTAGTGACATGGGTTGTACTATTTTGGTAGCCAAACTAACGTGATTACCACCATATCATAACTGCATTAATGACACCTTTCCAAGATGTTGGGGTAGAAGTTGTGTGAATTATGCTATTTATAGCGGTCTTTTAGTATAAATAACACCATCCATACCAAAATGTGTATATTTGCCACAGCTACACCACATATACCTTCCTAAGCACCCCACTTGAGTCTTGTCTTTTAACCACATAACATACAATTGTCCAACCCACCCCCTTCATTTTGTGTTTTTGCCATCAACCCCATTTGTCTTTCCACAATAATGCACCATTTATAGCGCTTTCATAGATGTATTTTTTTTTTTAATTCTTTATTTATAGAGTGCAAGAAATAACATAGTGTTCAGTAAGCCACAACAGCCTCTGTACACAGAGTGATAACAAGTCATATAAAACAGAGTTATGGCATTTGTATATATCGCACATTTTTTAGATTTTATAGTATGCTTAAAATACTAGTAAATGTCTGGAGCTACTGTTAAGGGAAAGTGGCTGAGCTTTGCGTATACATAGGCATGTTGCTAATCATTTTAAAGTAATACAGTAAGTAAAGCATGAGGGAATGCATATAGCTAACAGCTAATAAAGACATGCTGAGTTGTTATGCTAAACAATACTGTTATTGTGCCACTGGGTCGCAGGCTTTTTAGTTGGAAGTAGCTCCGTTTTGCCCAAAGAACATAATAAAACATAAGCAAAGACATAAGAAAAAGGACACAAGAACAAAAACAAAATACCCCTGATTGAGAATAAGCTGGGGCGCATATATGGCCTGAATCCTTGTGGCTGACAGGTAGCAGTGTGCTGTTAGTTCAGCCTATGCCCGATAAGTAATGTCCAGACTGAGTGTGAGCTCCCTTTCGCCGTCTTATATATCTGCAGTCGGTGTTGTGTCTCGTTTATGCGTGCGCTGTTTAGCTGTGGTGTACCTGGTCTGGGCTGTAATCTGGAGCCGTCGTTTGCTGGGTGTGAGATGGGAGGCTTTGTCTTTCCGCCTCTTAGATCTGTTCGGACGGTGTTGGTGGTGCGGTGGGCGTTTGATGTCTGCAGGCTTTCATTCCGGTTGTGGAGCTTTGTTTGTTGTGGGCCACGATTATCCTGTCTGGTGGAGGGGGGTCTGCACGAGCCTCCCACAGGAGTCTTTGGCGCTTTTGCTCGATTATTGTTTGTTGTCTTGGGGCGGTCCGTGTCCCTCCGTCGCTTCCACCACCGGGCCACAGTGCCCTGCACCTGCTCTTTCAGTGGCAACGCTTTGCTTGGAGGATTCTCATGCTTGCAAGGGGGTGTGGCGGCGTGCTGCCGTTGTGGCTGGTGTCTGTACCTGGTGCGAGCTTCTCTCCCGCATTCATTCCCAGAATCTCCTGCAAACAGCATCAAAGTTCGCATTGAAGGCTGCTGCCCATTCTTCATTAGTCTGCTGCATCAGTTTAGCTGCTGCACCATCGACCATCTTAGCTGGGCCTCATGGGGGTCGCCTGAACAATGTTGTGTCATGATGTGTCCCAGAGGTGGGTGCTCTTCGGGCACTGGTGGACCTGGATGACCCCCACCGGTCCAGAGGGGGGGGACAGTTGCCCTTCTTCGCTAGAGGATTCTTTTGTGGCGGGGGGAGAGCGGCCATCTCTCCTGCTCCCGCCTTTCGAGTAGGCCTCAGTTACTTGTTCTGCAAATATTGCTCGGTTCGTCGCTTGGTGGGTATCTTTGTGCTCAGATATTTGTCCCCTTTCAATTGCTGGCTTTGTTGGGCCGATTGGTCGCCGTTTGAAACCTAGAATGTGACGGCAGATAAGAACCATTCGGCCCATCTAGTCTGCCCAATTTTCTAAATACTTTCATTAGTCCCTAGCGTTATCTTATAGTTAGGATAGCCTTATGCCTATCCCACGCATGCTTAAACTCCTTTACTGTGTTAACCTCTACCTAAGCCTAAGCTTGGCGCCGAGAACGTTTGGGTCGTGTAAAGTGGCTTTTCATGCGGGCTATAGCAGGAGCCCTTGAGGATGTCGACCACTCGACTGCAGTCAGGCCCCGCCCACCTCATACATGTATTTTATCAACCACAACCCTTAACTCTCCACTAGCCACATCCCCTATTCTTATCCTCACACAGAGCACCATGCAGGGGGATTAAAATGGTGACCTGACTGGGAGAAAAGGACCACCACCAGTAGGATGGTAAAGCTTGCAGTGTGATAGGTTGTGAGAACCCTCCATACCATCACAGGCAAGCAACCTACTACACAGCAGGTTACTTCCATTTTAGTCACAC